GAGAGAGAGAGAGAGAGAGAGAGAGAGAGAGAGAGAGAGAGAGAGAGAGAGCTCAGGAGGAAGTCCGTCCAGGTGTGTGTGACAGAACTGCAGCCTGGGTTCAGGCACACAGTGCTCCTTCAACATCGCATTAAAACAGGCTATTAATAATATATACAATTTTATTAATAATAATAATCCATATTTTGCACTTACTTTCGTCAGAGGCACCACCAGGTAGGGGCTGGGGAGCATTAGCCAGCCTTAAAAATGGTTCCTGAAAACACCAGGTGTTGGGGATGACTCTACCACCGCCTGTTGTTTTAGATCAACATCTGTAAAAATGACTGAGAGCCATTTTTTCACTCAGTTAAGTTCAATAACAGACCTTTGGAATTTTTTGCGCGCACGGCATTGTGGGTAGGGGTCAGAGATTTATCGGTGTAAACAAACCTGCATCATTATTGAATGAGAGGAATGTAACTGCATTTGTTTATTTATTTATTTATTTATTTATTTATTTATTTATTTATTTATTTAGCGAATTCTGGCAAAGAAAACACTGGATGAGTTTGAAATGTTCAATATGCAGGACTTTCGAGTGAGGGGTCTATAATGCAGGTGCAATTTTAAGGCTAGGGCCCATAGGCATAATTTACAGGGGGTTAGGGGGTTATGGCCCCCCACAATAATTTGATCAAGTCAAAATACCCCCCCCCCCCAACACACACACACACACACACACACACACACACACACACACACACACACACACATCATTTACTCAAACACAAAAGAAATTAACCCATTTTGCCCCACTGGAACAATTGTTGCCAAAGTGTATCACTGTCATTTTCGACTAAGTAAAAAAATCTCAAAGGTACTAATGCAACATTTTCCACTTATACACTAGTAGACAACTTAGACAAAGGTTTTGATTTTGAAAAAAAAAATGTTTTCAAATGCCTCCTTTCACATAAAATCATATGGTTTCTGCACCTTTCGGCTGAAGACATGAAGATGCAAATCATCCTGGAAAGAGGTCAATTTCATAAAATTTCTTATGATTTTTCCCCAGATATACAGTATTTATCATTATTTAATCTTTCAAGTCTCTAGAATAACCCTCCCCCCAAAAATTTAATTTTTTTGTTGTTAATGGGCTCATTTCTGTAAGCAGCAACAAAAGTTGCCAATGGGCAAATAGCTTATCGCTAACTAAAGGAAAACACTGTCTGCAGGATTGTGTCTAATTTACTTATTTCAAATTGCAGAATGATGTACAATGTCTTATTTTTGTCTTCTTAGGATACTCTTCCTAGCTAAATAAATTAATAGAGGCCTGTGTGTATAGCTTGTAAAAATTGAGAATAAAAAAAACAGTTCAAATTGTTTTGTTTGGGATTTTATATAGGAGGAACCTGAGGCTCCACCTTTTTGTTATTATTTTTTCTGACCACATTATTATTTTTGATATTACTATTAATTCTCTACTATGAACAGGTGACATTGGACCTAGTGACAAGCTGTGTGACCGCAACAATTGTTGCCGGTCATAAAAATCCTATTTTCTTCAAAACAAACTACAAAATTATGAAAGTAATTGCATAACATGATTCAGAGGGACTCAACTGATAAAATGATATGCCTTACAACTCTGAAAAATAATTGGGCACAAATGGGTTAACTGGTTAAGTAGACAGATGCAACTCTCTTGTTGTCTTTAGCTAACTTTAACCTGAATTAAAAAATTACAATGTAGGCCTATTTGTACATTTAAGCATAATTGCTAAAAATGACATGCAGGGTTTTAGAGCATAACCTTTCCCCCCCACTGATAGACCTAAAGTTACGCCCTTGGGCTAGGCTATTGTAAATGTTTAATTTTGTTACTTGTGACCAATATATTTTTAACAAGATTTTGACTGACATAATTCCATGCATTTACCTATTTAAATATACTTACTGCTTGTTTAGTTTTTCAGTTCATTTAGAATTTTATTCTTCTTATCTGCTTTTAGATAAACTGAGCACGCCACGACATTTTCAAAATATTTGATCATTTTAGGTCCTACCTATCTACTGGAAGACACTTTTAATTTACAATTTCTAGTTCCTAAGATGTTTAGTATTATTTATAACAATTCTAATGGAATTAATAATAATTTGACATTTTAATGATGACCCTAATTAATTAATTTTATATTCTTTATTTGATCCACACTCCAGAAACAAAGCATTCTGCTTTGACAAATGCCTATGAAATTATCAAAATCAAAATTCAAATCAAGAACCAGTGAATTGTTTTATTTTTTTTACTGGTAAATTTGAATTTGGAAAGGCATGGTGACTAATAAATACCTGTGCAGGTCAAGCAGGAAACCTTGTGGATTTTGATGTTTATGACATTATTTGTGATGAGAATGGGGAGCAGGTGGAAGAGAATTTAGAGAAGTGGAGGTCTGCACTTGAAAGAAGAGGACTAAAAGCCAGCTGTAGCTAGACAGAGTACGTGTGAATGAGAGAGAGAGGCAGGTGGAACTAGTGTGGCTGAAAGGAGCAGAGGTCCCAATAGTGCAGGACTTCAAGTACTTAAGGTGGACTGTCCAAGAAAGTGGGGAGTGAGATAAAGAAGTGAAGGATGGAGAAGTTTCAGGAGTGATTTGCAACAAAAGGGTGGAAGGGTCAAAGGAAAGATTCACTGAAGAGTAATGAGACCATGTTGTCTGGTTTGGAGACATTGACAAAAAGACAAGAAACAGAGCTGGAAGTGGCAGAGCTGGAGATGTTGAGGCTCTCCTTGGGAGTGACAAGGACGGATGAGGAACGAGATCATCAGAGATACAGCACAGGTTAAAGGACTGGGAGATAAAGTTAAAGAGGCCAGACTGAGATGGTTTGGACATGACCAGAGGAGGGACAGCAAAAGATGTTAGAGATGCAGCTGCCAGGAAAAAGACAAAAGAGACATATGGGTGCAGTTAGAGAGAGGACATGGAGGTAGATGGACAGAGGACAGAATGACATGGGGGACGATTTGACGTGGTCCCTGAAAAAAGAACAGCTGAAATATTAAGAACAAAAATCCATGCATTTATATCTTCTGATAGTTTCCAATTCTTAGACATGTTTTCACAATGAAAAATAGACAAAAAATGAACAATTACTTTATGTACTTCCTGCTAAAACGCAACATACGTCTACTACTTAAAGTGCAAAAAAATTGATGTCTTTCCTAAACAAAGTGTCCCAACCTGGATGCAGAACAGACAAATCCTGCTGGTTTTGAGATTGTAGTTAAAAGGACCGTGACACATGAATGGTGTAAAGCCCCGTCACCCCCCTCCAGCATGGAAGGGAAGTCTCTGTGCCGTAAAACCTCTGTGAAAGTCTGTTCCTCTCAGGATTTATAGCTGTGGTAGGAAACTATCAATTCAAGCAACATTTGCTGATATGAGCTGACAGATGAAGCCACTCGGTGGAGGCAGTACAGTTGTTAACAGGTCTTTATTTTAGGGCAACCCATTTTTTAAAAGTTACATGTTGTTAAATTTAAATGAAATCTATAAAAGATGTTAGTATTTTCATTAAATGTTTTATTATAAAGTAGAATCTGAGCAATTAAACCAATTATTTAGAAAAGATAAAAATAATTCTGTAACACTTTATATCTAACAAAATCAAACAGTTGCTTTTTACATTAATTATTATTTTTTATTTCAAAAGTGTGAATAAGACTTGAACAAAATTTGAAACTTGAACAAAATGGGGCAAACAAAAATGAAAATGCATGTTTCAAACCTCAAAATAAGAAAAACAAAGTTAGAAATTGAGAAATCAGAAACTGCGGATGACCCATGTCAAGCAAGACCTTATTTAAAAAAAGGCTGCTTCTATAAAATGACTTTCAGCTCAATCAAAGATTCTCAAACTATAAATCAGAACAAATATAAGATTCTTCTCACTTCTCAGATTTTCAAAATAAAACAACTCTTTTAACATGAGTCACGAAGAGTGGCAACCCAGTATTTGACATTAACAGTGAATTATTTGACTCTGTACAAATGAACAATGACATCTCAAGATCTCTTAAACGCAGGGAAAGCAGAGGACTTGAGATTTATCACAGCTCCCAAAAATGGAGGAAAAGCTTTTGCTCTGGCAGGAACTTTGAAGCAACAAAACAAATCATGATGAGTTTGTATTTCAAAAAACATGGTTCACAAGTGTGTAGATGTTACTGGAGCCACCTCCAACATTTCAGGGTTTTTGGAAGAGAGTGACACCATGTGTTGAGTTCAGGTAGCACATTGATTTTAGAAACTATTGGACAATTTTTTATTATCTTTTGTTAATCACGACAGAAAGAAACAAAGTCAGATTTCAGCTGTTTTTGTGAGGAGGTATAGTTTTCACAGCACTGAGTTTGCGCAGTGTCAAGAAGACAGAGACAAGATCAACAAAAGCCCAGCAGCCTCCTGAAGATCTGCCTCCCTCTTTCTCTGGTCCTTTTTCTTTTTTTACACAAGTCTGTGTTTGAGCTGCAGGTCCGACAAACAGGGGACAGGCTGTTTGTCTTCCCTGGGATCAGTAAACATCCTCAACACAAACAAGTTCCTCTGCAGCGACAGAGAAACTCACACCATCAGGGCAGCTGCACTCTCACTCCACCACGGCCTTTGATGTCCTTCAGAGAGAGCTGATAATGGAGGCTCCTTACATCTTCACTCCTTTAATTGGCGTGTGGATGTAACAGGACACTGATACTTCTGTTGTTGTCTATAGCGGACTGCAGAAAAAGAATAATCTTCATTTTCATGTGGCGGAATAACAGCAGAGCTGGCTCACAGCTTTAATGTGGGAACATTAAATGTAGTTATTAAAAAAGACAAAGAACCGCAGAGTTGTAAAGTAACTAGGTACAAATACTTTGTTACTGTACTTAAGTAGAAGTTTTGGGTATCTGTACTTTGAGTAATTATTTTTCAATCTACTTTTTACTTCTACTCCTTACATTGTCACATAATTATCTGTACTTTTTACTCCTTACATTTTAAAAAAGGTAAGAAGTAGAAAGTCATTACTTCCATTTCATTTTTGCTTGTTTTCATTCCAGCTTCTCATTGTAAAAAATAAATACTATCCGTATTCCAGCAGGATATAATCATTAAAATAGAAGGACTGAATGTAAGAAGTATTTTTATTTCATGAATTACATTGCATTTGACTGCAGCCCTCAGTTAGATTCTCATTTTGGGAAAAAGGTTTGGGCACTGTATAAACTGAAACAGACTAGTGCATCCTAAATTTAACATAAATTAATTATTTTAATATAACATAGTCATTTCTGCATTTTTGTGGAGGTCACCTTCTTATAAATGTCATTATGTAAAATCTACCTGCTCATTTTAAAATCAATACTTTTACTTTTAATGCTTAAGTACAAAAAAAATCGGATACTTTAAGACTCAAGTAATATTCCTAAAGAAGACTTTAAAATTACACACATGTAATTTTTTAGTAAGATACTTGTATTTTTACTCAAGTATAACTTTGTGGTATACTTTATACAACACTGCCTAACAGTCCAGCTTTTCACACCTCAAAAATGTTTGCTCAGAAGATCCATAACTGCAACAACTGTACACAAAAAAAGTTTCATAACTGTGACCTTTATCTGCAACTTTACTTTTCTTTTATCCAGTTATTAGAATGAATTCAATGGATTTTATCACCTGCTGCCGTAGGAGGTCTGATAGCAAAATATCTCACAAATAATTCAACATTTTTAGTAAAACTTTGAGAACGTTACCATTAGATTGGCATCTACAACATTTTCAAGGCCACCACAAAACAGGGATCTAACTCAGCCGATGTTACAAATATCAAGCTCAAATTTTGCGCGGTAGTAGACAAGAGTCATCCCCAACAAATACCCAAATAACTAACAGACTATACAAGATCTTTATTTGAAATTTCAGTATTCACGTAATGTTTGCGTCAACTTGATTTACGTCGGTCGCTACAGCTAATCGACTCTAGTAAACACAGAGAATAAAGTTACACAGATTGAGGTGTGGTGGAAGCTGAGAGTCATCCCAAACAGTTTGAGCACAGATACTGAATCTAACTAAATCAAAGGCAGCTGAACCTTTTTTTTTGATTCTGAAAATGTTACACTTCTTATTTATCTGAGAAGCTTTCCCAAGTGGAAAAAGAGAAATATCCTTAAAACTCAAAAGAATAATCCAGTTGGCTTTTGTTTCTGTTTGCAAGGACTACCCATTCTAGAACGACTGAAGATCTACACCAGCAAAAATGAACAGTGACGACACAAAGGATCAGTATTTGTACCAGGTGGGAAAACAACAGTCTTGGTTCAGTTCAGTCTGTTTTGTTCTTGTGGTGGGGGCTGCACAGTGGTGTGGTAGTTAGCTCTGTCACACAGCAGTAAGAGGGTCTCAAACTGACCCATCTGTGAGGAGTTTTGTGTGGGTTTTGTCTTAATGCTTTGGTTTCCTCCTAAAAAAAATCACCAGAAGAACTGTAGTCTGTATCTACTTTATGTGAATCAATCTTTTTTCTTTCTCCTGCAGATGTGTTCTGATTTTAACGAGACACTGAGGATGCTTTGACTCTGCAGCAGCTTGCTTACCCCTCCTTCTGGCCACTTGTAGGTAAAAACCTTCCCTCCTCCTCCTCCGCTCTCTGGGCGAGACAAGGCATTTGGCTCAGGCCGCAGCTCGCTCCGCAGCCTCGGGTCACGTCTGGCCTCCGTAAGACAGCTTTTGATCAGTGACTTATGGCTCAAAACCTGCAGACCACAATGTAACGTTCAAGCTCCTCTTCCATGGGAATTTGATGAGTTACCCAAACTTTATCGCCACAGTATGCCTTACACTGTGAAAACTTCTGAATAAAGATGATTGTTATTACTAAGTATATAGAATTGGCTTTAATTTACATGTATAAAACAACTAGTTTCAACTCTAAAAAAATCATATAAACAATTTAAGATTGCTACAAGAACTAAAAATCTTTGGGGAATCTTGAGTGTAAATATGCTATCTTCAAGGACTTGCTTGTTTGTACCTGCTGTGTCGTTCTGCTCGTCCACTCAGCATGAAGCCCCGTAGCCCAGGACCAGCCCCGCTGACATCAAAAGACTTCTGTGGGCCTTATCAGATAATATTCTTGTCCGCCTTCCCTCTCCTTTGAGTCCAGTCTCCTCGCAACGTTGACCTGGATCGTGCGCTCTGTTTCTTACGGCCCTTTGGCCTTTCCTCCTCTTATCATCCTGATGGTTGAGCTGTGATAAGGTAAGGTCCAGCCTCAGGACAGAGGGAGGGTGGGAGATGTCCACACTGCAGCATTTGCATAACTTTAAGGCAGTTATCTGTTTTTCCTAAAAAAAAAAAAAACACATAATATTTGGATCAGAAATGTAATAACAGCTTATATTTATGACGCCTAAACATTTATAATGGCTGCATAAGTCTTTCATATTTGATTGATTGATGATGCCTTTATTGTCATTGTGCGGAGCATATTTCTGTAGACTGATTCAAGCTTATATGTATAAAATGATTGCTATGTCAGAATTCATATGATTATTTTTATTTTACACTTTTTGCAATCTAGCCACCTCTATATACTTTGTGCAATGTTGGCCACTTGTATATCAAAACATTCAGGTCAGTCAAGAGATGGGTGCCATGACCTTTGGTTTGTGTAACTTTTACACTAATTAAATATTTACAATATTTTCTGCATACATTCAGATACTTTTATTTATTACAAAGGTTGTTTTATTTGAAATCTGCTTCTTGCTGTAGTTTTGTCTTTATTTACAACTTTTAGTTTGTAGCTACCATTCTGATACTCAGCTTTTAGCTAATATTTAGCTTTTCAGCTAGCACTTTGCTCCTTTTGTAACTATTTCACCTATTTTAGCTTTCAGCTATATTTTGCTCCTTTTAGGTTTAAAAACTCAGTTTCAGCTTCTTCAGCAAAAATCAGTCAGCCCTCAGAATTCACTGCATTTTTAATGAAAAACATTGTTTTTCTACTTTAAGATTTTTCAATTATTTGCTGAATAATCTTGCTACAATAACATTAACAGTGCCACGTGTGTCTGATGGTTGGATATGTTTAGGAGAACGCCGGGCAGACAGACTGACAGGGGAGGACTGGTGTCCAAAGTCACGACCCTGCCCTGACCTGCGTGAAGGAAATGGTCACGCTGCTCGAGACAAAGCAGGGCAGAGGAGAGTCTGAGGGGGCTGGCTGCTCGGCTCCTAACAATGGGTTCGTGCTCTCAGACCGCAGGCCACACAAAGGCCAGAGAAACACCCTCCTACACACTCCCACATTGCAATAGAGCTGGCATTTCACACCACTTTGTGAACAGCCATTCAATCAAACTACTGTTTAACCTGGCCTCTGGCCTACACAGAAATCGAGATGACTCTGTCGGGACGTATTTAGATACCCGACCCGACCGACCCTATTGAAGCAGCTCATCAAGTCTTCTGTTGTTTTGGTGTCAAAACACAAGCTGCATCCTATTTTGTCACAACTTCTCCAAATTCCAGCGAATATGCCTTAAAAGTGTGCAATCAATAGGCCACCCAATAAATAACGTGCCTATTGAATGCTGTAAGAAGCGATAGCTCCCCGGGGAACACGAGACACGACCAGACCCTCCGTCTGGGTCAGCTCCCCTCGAGCCGGGGCTCCTCTCCAAGCTCTGCTCTTCCTCTCTACCTGTACAGAGCTGGAATCAAGGTGTGGGGGGCCGCGCATATCAAACATACCCAGGTCTTTGATGTGGATGGAAACACAAACACTGATTTGAGCAGAGTCGTAACAGCTTATTTGTTCCTTTTAGTCATTCATTGAGCTGCATGTTGAATGTGTATGCCTTCAAAGGACTGCTGCGTGCGCCGGTGGCACAGTAGCCAAGCAGGCCTTGAGAGGTGCCTGGCCTGAAGAGGTTGCGGAGAGGCCATCTGGCTTCCTGTTCCTTAGATTCGGTATTGATCTATTGACTGTACAAGGGAAGATAAGTGAAGAGCAGCTGCCAGAAGTTCTCCTCGCAGACAATGGACCTGCTGCTGGTCATTCACTAACTGACGAAATGGGTTGTTCTTTAAAGCAATGGTTCCCAAACTTTTCAGCCTTTGACCCACAAAACACCAGCAGCAGAGACCTGTGCCCCCAGTTGTTGTTGGTTGATGAGCATTGTTTTTCACTTCAAATAAACAAGAGCACAGTAACATAATTCATTATGCTATTTTTGTCCATTTTAAGGACATTAATCTTATTATTTTGTAAAAACAAAAGGAAAAATTGTTCTTAGTTGCCTTTTTTTGTGTAATTAGTTCAAAAAAAATTCAGGACCCCACCTTGATGTTTCAGGACCCCACTGTGGGTGCTGACCCCAACTTTGGGAACCACTGCTTTAAAGAATAAAAATCAGAAAGAAATATAATCCCCAAATTTTGCAAGAGTCGCAAATGTAAAAAAGAACAACATACTTTTTAAATAAATTCTAAATAATGTGAAAATTAACTGAAAATGACACCAAAACTACATCAACATGACTATTTTTTCATTTGTGCTTTTAAATCACTCAAACAAAGTGTACAAGCTTTATTGTTTGTTTAGTTTGCACTAATGAAGCACATTTACAGATCAGCAGTTTCAAAGTGTTCCGTAACAAAGATGGCTCCCGGTAACGAGGTGCAAAGCCTCATTTATTATTCCTAACAAGTCCCGACAACCTTTCACAGTTTGCAACATCGCGTTAATCACAAAATCCAAATTCGACCTCCACGCATAACAGGTCTCCCATTCCTGTTAAGTGAGCCAGGAGCAGTTTGGCCTGAGCCTCCCAGTTAGAAGTGTGAATTCTACCTAATGCCTGACCTTTTTTCCAACACCCCCTTTTCCCCCCTCCTTTCAATAGAAAAGACCGCTACCCAAAGCCTGTTCCTCCTGCCCACCCCCCAAAACGTTCTTCCCTTTCCCCTCCCCTGACAACACAAGTCTGTGATGTGACTGTCTGAGATAAAAAAAAAAAAGTGAGAATTTTATTGCAGGGTCTGTGAGCCTGGCACCAGGACGGCCTCAGCTCAGACTCTCTGGTGTTGGGCGCCCTCTGTTGATCACTCACACTAACTCAGGTCGCACTTCAAAGTGTGAGATCAAGGGTTGACATCCAGAGAATGACAATACCACAGCCAGCCATGCATGCAGCTCTGTTTGTATTTGTCCTCGTGGATCAAGTTTTCGTTCAGAAGGATATGAACACGCAGGAGGAAGCTCTGTCTGTGGTGAACAGAGGAACAGAGACTGAGTGGCAACAGCTTGTTGGAGGTGTCGTGTTTGATTGCTGAAGCATTAATTGATAAGATACAGCATAAAAGCCCTTATCTTTAAGACATCATCTTATCGCACACGGTAAAGTAGGATCAAAGTATTTTCGATGAGGTATTTTCAGCTTTTTGATCCTGCACCTTCAAATTGTACCACTCAAACGAGCCAAAACTTTTAAAAATATGCAGTGCCAATTAAAAATAATGTCAAATACGAGTATTTGTTTTGCCAGCTTTGAAATCCATTATACAACCTGCTTCCCGCACAGGCCTTCGACACAGTTCATTCTCGGCTCGAGGGGAAGTGCAGGAGGAAACTCTTGTGATCAGGCCGTCACTTCCTGCGCACGGCTCTGTTGTTCCAGAGAGCGTCTGTGAAGGAGCCAAGTGGCCCGGGCAGAGACAGAAGGTGGGCTCCTCGCATAAATCTGACGGCTGTCAGCCCGGCAGGGGAAGGGAGGTTCTCCTGGCGGGCCAAGACGTGGAGAAAACAAACGTGAGGATGAAACGAGACAGCAAAGACCACCTTACTGTAAATCAGACATGATTTGTTGGTACAATAAAGAAAACAAGAAAGACTTAACTAGACTAACGCATTACGAAAGTGTGGCTGCAACTGATGAAGCAAAAAAAAAAAAGAAGAAAAAAAGGAAACAAGAGTGAAACATACTAAATAAACTGTTATAAAACTGACAAAAAATAAATTTCAGTTCATTTAAAAGTCAAACCTCACCTCATTTTGAAACATATATTAGGATGTTTTCTGCACTTAGTGTCTGTCACCCCAAAGATCAAAGTTCCTGAAAGGTTATGACCTAATTTAACTATTTGTTTCCAGAAAGCTCAAAGATTTAACTGTCACAAGTTTCACTTCCACTTCTATGATCACGGTGCATAACTAAATTTATACAAATGAAACTTTCTTCTTCTTCTTTTGGCTGTTCATCTCACTGTCCCCTGGTAGCTGCATCTCTAACATCCATACAAATGGAAACTACAACATAAAAATAAGAAAAGTTTTTCTGATTTATTTTACATAGCTCTAAACATGACTGTCTGTAAAGGGAAGTGCTCCACTTCTTCAAAAACACTTTTTTAAAAAATCCCGTCTTTTCATGAATTAAATGTTTCTAGGCCACAGAAATACTAAATAATATGATATTAAAGTTTTGTAATAAATGTTTTCAGAAAAAAAATTAAAGCTACATTGCATGCATGACTCCTTGGTAAATGTGTTGAGCTGACGCTGGCTGCAGCTCAGTTCTGTCCCCTACTGCAAATATCAAGACAATACAAAGAAACACTGTTGAACGGCAAATAAAACTGTTTTGATTTAGAATGTAACTACTGGTATCACATTATGTGTCACTTACGTATCAGTAAGTGATAAAATGTATGTAAAATATCAGTTAACAATATCTATCACAGGTTTTAAAATGAAATGCTAAAAAAAACATGAGAAAATATTCTCAGCCAACAAAATGTAAACGACAACACTTAAACACATATGAAACAAGAAATAAGAACTGTTTTTAAAATACAGAAGTTGTTTTTTAAGTTCCTCGTGGTTAACAGAGTGTAGTAAACATCATGGTAAATAGTATACCCTGTTCAGTCAAACAGGAACTGGGTTGTTAGCAATATTTTCAGAATTATTTTCCATAGGTCAATAAAGTACTTGAAAAAATAACTAAGTAAAAGTAAAAATACCTTAACAAACAATGACTTTGGTAAAAAAAAAAAAAAAGTCACTGATGAGAAAACTACTTAAGTAAAAGACATAAAACTGTTCACAAAAATTGAGAAAGTAGAAGTAAAAGTACTTTTCCACACTCTAACAAATAAACTGTTAAATTTACAGAACTAAATTGGCTCCACAAAACCAAGATGATTAAATTGGTCAAGTTTTAAAAAATAAAACATGTATACCGCCTCAAATTTACTATACTAGGTTTAGTGGAAATAGTTGATATGATTTAGTTGAGTAAATTCAACACTTATTTTTTGGAGAGAACATAAACAACTCCTTTCATGATGAGTTCCGACAGATTATATTTAGAATATATAGTATATATAATATTTAGAATTTATAACAAGTAACTAGGTGTTCAACTTTAAAGTAAATAAGTAAAAGTATCATTTTTAGGTTTTAAAAGTAATTAAGTAAACGTAAAAGTCACGATTTAAAAAATACTTGGTAAAATTACAACTTCTCAAAAAAATTTAAGTACTGTAACAAAGTAAATGTACTTAGTTACTATACACCTCTGTTATTTTCCAATAAACACATTTATTTAAGTTTAACACTACACTGTTGTCTTTATATCAAGTTGAAATAACCGGTTTAATATATTTATAAATAATACATCTGTTAAGACTTATTGTAGTTTTTTAACACTTAAGGTCACTTAGGTCAATGCCTATAAATTTGACTTAATTTTAGCCATTTCTGTGTTTTTTTAAAAGCGAATTGATAGTGGTGGCCATCTTGAAAGGAGATCCAAAATTAAATGAATTTTAAAGGAAAAACTGTGATTTCTTGTCTGAAAGTTGAACAACACCTATATATATATATATATA